TTTTTTTTTTTTTTTACATCAACTTTTTATTGTATCAAAAGCAGAAAAAAAAAAAAAAACCTTGCTTTTTTTTTTTTAGGGTTACAAAATGTAAACCATTATTTGGGTGTCAACTCTTTAATTTGATCGATTTTACCTGCTAAAAAGTATTAAATATAGTTCTCAAAGAAGAAAAAAGAGAACTAATCTTATTAATATAACAATAGTGAAGGAAAACAAAGCAAACCAAAGCAACAAATAAACACCAACAACAAAAACGCTGATAGCGCACAGTAATCCTTAAAAAATACTACAACAGAATAATCAGAAGCACTGACAACTGTTTTCAACAATGATCTTTGTATCAGTTCAAATAACTTTTTTTTTTTTAGCATCAACTTATTTACCAGCAATCTTTTATAACATAGATCAACCGGTAGTCAGTCTATCAGCCATTGAAGTTTGTCATAGGTGAAAAAAATTTCAAAAATTACTTCTTCTTTTCTTTTAAAATGATCAAACTTCAAGATAAAACGTTGAATAGTATCAATTCAGCATTAAAGACAAAGAGCAAAAGCAAAAACAAAAACATTAACTAACCTGAAGATCACTTTCACATGCTAATCTGGCTAAGTTACAATGTAGTGGTGTCTTGTTGGGCATCAGGTTACAAATTTCTAGCTCGTGCCTAGCCTGTAAACAGGATAAATCGGTCCGAAGAAGCGTTCGACCAAATCGATTGTTGTACAGATTTGCCACTGAGCTTCGGCATTGTGGTTGACAACGATTTGTGGTACTAAAAAAGTTTACCAAAATATATTCAATAAGAAACATGGTTTTTTTTTTTTTGAACTGACTAAGTACACCAGAAAAAAAGAAAAAAGGTAAGAGGAAAGGAAAAAGGATAAAAATTGTTTCCTTTTTCATTTCCTTTCTCTGTTTGTTTTTTTTTTTTCCTTCCCCCCACCAGTTTTTCTTATGTATAATACTAATGATGTTGATGTAGCTGCCTGTATGTCGAATAACACAGCCACTAATCAATTTATTGACTTATATGCTTCATATCGTTTTTGTTGTTGCTCGGTTTTTTTTTTTTTTTCATACCTCAATTTTTTCAGCAAAAAGACACATATTTTTCTTAACCGTCAGCTGTTGTTGATCAGCAATCAGTTTATATTTGCCCTAAAAACTTTTGAATTTTTCTATATAACCCTCGTCATACTTTAGGGTTTATTTGGTATCTGTAGTGTTGTTTTTGCTGATTTTTTTAGTCTAAACTTGTAACTGTTCAAATTGGATGGATTGCTTATAGCCAAAATGGGCAAAAGCTGTATAAACCAGTCTCAAAGCGACTGTTTGTGACGTTTGATCAAACAGTATTGGGGAATGAATAAAGCAACAAATAGAAAAAAAAAAGGGAGAAATTAATGCTTGACTTTTATGGTGTATATAATGCAAAAAATAACATTGAAAATACCAAATTTTTAGATGTGAAACACATTACGAAATTTGAAAGCAGAATTTTTGCCATTTTCTAACAACAGTACAACTGAGTTATGCGGAATCTAAAAAAGTTTCCAAATACAAATGTATTCAAATGTTTTGAAATTGTTCTACAAAAAAAAAAAAATTTTGTAAAGCTTCTTTGCTTACTTTGGTACAGGTGAAGAATTTTTGCTGCTGTTTGGGAAACGACTGAAAATATGTGCATGTACAATTAGAGAAGCCAAAAAATAACTGTTTTCTGGAGTAACAAATAACTTATAATATAAGCTATTATTGCACTTGAGAAACTCTTGAGAAGCTATATGATAATCTTCTAAAAAAAAAAGATCGGTTTTGAACGGGGGAGAGAGAAAAGTTTTGACAAATATTTTAATGGAGTAAATTTGTTGTATTTGTAATAATAATTGACTGAAGTACTGCATTGCACGAAAAACATTTCTGTTCAATACCCTTAAGTAGATTTACGATACATTAAATCTCAGCAATGTAAACAGGCAACTTTTGAACAATTTTTGGCAATAGTTTACCGTCTGGAAGAAAAGTATTAAAATATTCAGGTAGGCAAAAGCTTAAATTTTTGGCTATAAGATTAAAAGGTTAATCAGAAACTAATAGATAGAAAATTTTCAACTAAGCAATATTACAGAAAAAAATAAGGCGTTGTATTAAAGTATGGCATTTTTAGCATAAATTTAACCAAAGATTTACAAGAAATTTAAACGTTTTAAGTTTTCGTGTTTACTTTGTACCGTTTTTTTTTTTATTGGACTGCATAAATTGACTGATTGCAATTGGTAACTTATTTTAGAGTCTCTCCGATACATTGGTATAGTATTTTGAAAAGTAACTTGAAAGAAAATAAAATCTTTGCAAAAAAAAAAAGTAGGAAAAAGTTTTAGATGTATATTTTTATTGCTTTTTTTTTGTTTTATTTAAAATTTAATTAGATTTTTAAATCTTAGCATTTGCTTTATTTTCGTTTTGTACAGTTTGTTTTTTGCTGCAGAACTATTAGCTGCAGAAATGCTTGTCAAATGCATTTGCTTTTTTTGCCTATTTCTTAGATGTAACGTCGGGAACAACACGAAGAGAAGACAAAAATTGACAAAAAATTTCTACTATCCTAAACGAATTAACAACAGACGGTACTGAAAAAGGTTGTAACGTGGAAAAAAAATGAAGAAGAAGGATCATTTCTGAGAAAATAAAAAGGAAATAATGAAAAATTTTTGATTTGCTTAGCACAACAATTCAGCTAAATATAGTGTACAGTTTTCAATTTGCAAGTAATCTTATAAACTTTTTCTGATTTTTCTATTCTGTTAAACTGTCTGTAAGTGGAGAGAAGGCAAAAAAAAAAATACTATGTCATCCGTTTTTTTGTGAAGTGCTGAACTGTTTTGAAGAAATTTGACTGTTTAATTGTCATTGCAAAAAGTGTTCGTTGACAAAGTTCCTTCTTCTTCTTCTTCTTCTGCTACTGTTTTTCTACTTCTTAATTTTTGCTCTTTTTCATCTTCTTCTATTTTTTTTCTGTTGTTTAACAGTCATTCATCTACAAAAAAAATAAATAAATACTTTGATATTTGGCTAAAAATATCCTTAAAATCTTTCTGTCCTTTTCCTTCTCCCCCTCCTCCTCCTCCTCCTCCTCGTCCTCCCCCTCCTCCTTTTTTCTCTCTCGCTTCTTCAAAATAGAAAAAAAGAAAGACTGAAATAGGCGTACATCTTTGTTTACAGTAAAAATTACTTTTTTTTTTTCTTCAATATTGTTATACAAATTTAATCTAAGTTCTTTTTTTTTTTTGCATAAAAAATTTTTGTAAATAAAAGAAAGCATATTTTTGTTTGGTTTGTTTACATTTTTTAGATGTATTTTGTTTTTTTTTCTAAACATATCGCCGCTATTAAACACAGTTTGTTTATTGACGTTGACGAGGAAAAATTACCTAATCTTTCTTTCTTTTTTTCATTTTTTTTTTTTGATAATAATGATGAAAAATACAGTCATATTTTATTGTCATTTGTCGTTACTGCTTCGTTGCTAAATAACTGATTTTTTTTGGTTTTGTTTGTCAACAATATATTTTTCCAGTTTATAATATCCAAAAGAGGAGAGAAGGGGAAAAAAAAAAGAGAGCAAGAAATGTAAAAATTTATTCTTTAATAGTTTCTGTAATGAGTATATGTATTTTTTTTGGCAAAAAATGATTAGTGATGTAAAATAAAAGTGAAAAAAAAAATAATAATAAACTGCTCAAAAAAAAAAAAAAAAACCAATTGTTCACTACTGCCTTATTTTTTTTTTTTTTTCAGTCATCTTTTCCCGTTTTTTTTTGGATCAAATAAATTCAGAAAACTGTTCCGTTGGATACGATGCGATAAATCAACAAATAAAGAAAATTCAACACCCCACTCAGCCGTTTTTCAACAATGACTTTACCACCACAGCATTCAAAGTATAGTTAATTCTAATAACCAATTTGAAAATTACAGATCAACAAAAAAGGGAATTATAGTTGTCGAAAAAATTTACATTTTTTTTTTTTCTAGGTTTTAGCAACGACAACCACAGTTTTTTCGAACAGTTTAATAAACAACAAAAAAAAAAAACTGCAGTAAGATAATTAGAAAGCAAAAAGAAAAAAAGAAAGATATTATTAAAGATTTCAAATTGAAATCATAAATTTTCATAATTCTTCTGTTTTTTTTTTTTCTTTCTTACTATTTTTACTAAATGTAATATTTCAGATCTGTTAAACAGATCAATTCAAATGATCCACTAAAAGCAAAGAAAAAAAGAAAAAAAAAGGCGAAAACAAAGCATCTGATGTAGTTGAAAATACATCGACAAAGTACTGTTCATCAAAACTTGCGATTCTGTTGGTATAAGACTGAAGCAATTCAACAAGTACTACCACTTTGGTGCTACAGGTTAAGTGTTCTTTAGAAGCCTAACAGAATCTGCAAAGAAAATTTTTTTTTTACATTTCTAGAATCTGACAAAAAAAAAACACAACAAATAAAAGTCAAACAGAATAAAAAGTGGGGTTGCTGAAAATGTATACGAAGAAAGAAAAGAGAAAAACTAAATAAATAAATGATGAGTAAAAAATTGACAAAAATGAACAGAATTTTCTTCTTTTTTTTCACCTTCTAAAGATCTCGTAAAAGAAAAAGAAAAGAAGAAGGTGTAAAAAAAAAAAGTAAAGAGGTTCTCTTCAGTTCTGAAACGCTTTAAAATTGCCCTTTTTTTTCGTCTTTTTTCTTAAAAGATATGAATAATAATTGTTGTTGTTCAAATTCAACACTTTGAAAAAATCACTGACATTTGATAATAAAATGTTGAAAAAAAGTTAGAGGTTTTTTTCTTTTCTTTTTTTGGAGACAATTGGGCAACTTCTTTTTTCTGTTTCTATTTATGGATACAAATACAGTTTCAACCAACAATTAAATTGGCTTATCAATAGAAGTTACTGCCTGTAATAAAGCTTAGCACTTTCTAAGCTTCTGTGTTATCAAAAATTTATCATTCTGACAGAAGGCTGCTTTTAGCTGATATACTTCAATGAGGTTGAAATTTGTTGAGAAATGAAAAAACAAGAAGGATAAGCATTAATTTTGTATAGAATTATTTGTTGATTAATCTTTGATCACTGATCAAATAACCAAGTTTTTTTTTTTTTTT